ATGTTTTAGAAAAAAAACGATCTGCACTCCGAAAATTTTTTGGCCACTTCTCACAATCTCTATTTTTAAGAAAATTACATCCTTTCAAAAAAAAAGTAGGCATTTCTGTGAATTGCGGATTCTCGACCCCATAGCTCACAGCGATTTGAAGGTATTGCACAAAAATGAAGGTTTTTTGAAAGTATGTGCTTCGTAGATTATAAATCTATATTAAAATTTGAAAAAAAATATTGAAAATGAACTGAGTTACAATCTTTTGAAGAATAGCAGTCCGCCTCGGCCTCTCCGCGCTGCTTCGAGGAGAAGATAGCGCGCGAAGATGCAAACTCAACGCTCCAATGCTAAATTCGGTTCCCCGCGAAAATGTTCATGAAGAGTAGCTGAACTGTGTTATGTTTCGGGTCGGGTGTGGGGGGTCGTACCGCGGCCCTCCAGAAAGGGGGGGGGTGTAAAATTTTTGAAATTTGTCCAACACCGAATATTTCCTCACGAAACCACCGTCGAGCGGGAGTGGGGAGAGAGGGTAATGCGAGCGGTTAATGTGATTAAAGAAACAGCAAGTGCTTGGTTGCTTGTTTAATGCATTTTAGCGATAATATCGCTGGAAATTTCATAGAAACCCAACAGAGCTCCCTCTTCCACACTCACGGCCTCTTGAACTTCCATGATTGCGAGAAATGAATAACAACATGAAAACGTCCACTCACTTTAATACTACGAAGGGCGGGGGGGGGGGGGGGGTGGGTCCCTGCTCTAATCTGCCTATACGATGAAGGAAAAGCTTGCAAGGTACGGGCGAGGGGATAATCCGACATGGATGTGTCTATGTTCAACAGATAAGGTCGCAATCAGCTATTGTAAACTGGCTCGACAGGTGTTAACCCCTCTCGTTGTTTTGCACCCATTGCTCAATGGTGCTTTGATCCGAGTACCATAAAAATATTTTACTCAATGGCGCATGTACTGCGTGCGCCGGGTACCCGACAAGATGCCCGTAGCGCGGTGAGATCAGAGACGCAGATGGGTGAGCGGACGAGTAGCACCGCTGAATGTGCGATATGAAACGTAGCATGGTACATCTATTTAATCTGATGCTAAATAGATACAGTGCGCGCTGCGACACCCGCTGGCCCGCCTGCGTCTCTGCAATGCCGCCGCGCGACGGGCCTCCTGTTGGGTCCGCGTGCGCCACATAAGGGCACAGTGCACGCTCACATATGCGCGCTCAACAGCAAACAAACGGCTCGGCAGGTCGCGTTAAGGTGATGGCCGCTGCAGTACGACCCCCTCCGGTTTCCGGTCGATGATGTCAAGATGTAGTGCCGTTAAACTCAGACCAACAAAGCAAGCTAACACACTCCAGTGCCACACCAGAAAAGTAAATTTTTATTGAGCGGGGAAGCATATTTGCATGAAGACGACACAGCGAATTTAACGTGCCACTATTTTATTTCCCCTATCCCACCAAGACAAAAATGGAAAGCATCTGAAGCCAAGCCACCAATTTCTGTCTGAGCACAACTGATGAGCAATTGAGCTATATCAAAGCTCATCTGATACTATGCCATTTCAAGGTGAGCCTCGGGTTAAAACAGGTTTGTAAGAGCAGCTCATGATGGATGGGTTGCGTAGCGAAGTGGAAATAAAAAAAAGTAGGGGGTACCATCAAAAAACTTGACTTGGCTCCTATACTCCTTAGAAGAGCGGATGTAATACGGCGTAGATTCATACGCAAGAGAACCCACCATGCAAGGAGCCACAGATAAGCGGCTCCTACGGTCGCTAGTAAACGACTACCGGTCCTGCTCAGCGATCGGACACATTGGCAGGACCTACATACGGCTTTTGGCGCACTTTCTAGTGGTGACACCTCAGCATCAGTGGGGTTCCCGAACAGCTCTTCTATCTAGCGAAGGGATCATTAAAATGATCTTATCCTGAGGCTTGCCTTTAAGCTAATTTGAGTATGTCTTTTAAAGATGTTCTTGTCTAATGGTTAGTTTCTTGCTGAACCTGAATGAAAGTGAGACAATTATTCACGCTTTATTGGGGCTATAGGCATGTTGTGGTGGTGAACAGCCTCCCGAGGTACTTCAAATCAAATCGTTCACTGAGAATCTTCGATCGCATTTTGGAAGGAGCCATGCAATCTACTTCCGTACAGAATCGTAGTAGTCTTGAATGCAATTTGGATATGACATTGTGGTGACCGATGTATAGGCCGTGCTTTTTTTTCTGCGAAACTTGCTTCTATGTACCCCTCCTCCCAACAAGACCCCGCTTATGTAGGGTTTCAACTTTGTACAACGCGAGTACCGAAAAACTTTTCTATTTGTCATAAACGGGACCAACACCCAAAACTTTGGTAGAATAAACTACTGCGTCGTCATGGTTTGGCCTCTGAAAATACTAAGATACAACACATTTCGTCAACAAAAAGGCTAATGCCACAAAAGAATGGAAAAGTGTTCTAGTCATACTGACGAATGCCAAGTGCGTGGCTTATTCTGATGCAGCTGATAATTGCACTATCTGATCGGTTCCAGAATCAGGTCTTGCATCCCTTCGAAGTGAAGTTTATCGCAAATCGAAAACGTAAATGATCAGAGTTTATTGCCCCTATCGGCGATCTGTGCGTGAGTGAAATCGCCAACTGATCGGCGCCTGAAGTCGTGGCGTGTTCAGTGCAATAGATTTTCGCCGACGCTCGCTTTGACCCCATTAGGGTGTTCCTTTCAATAACGATGGCGATTGGACATCGTCTGCTTCTGATCGCTTTCATCGCCACAACAGGCTATTCACAACTCGCCGACGGCACATGTGAGATCATCAATGTTGCTTGAAATATAGTCCAACTGTGAAGTAAAACGTTTTTTTTGGCTCTGTGCCAATGTATTACGTTTTCCAAGTAACAACAAGTGTTTGAGAGTTTATAGAACTCGCGTTATTCACGGGCATTCAGCAACACTCTGTTTCCCGTGGCAGCTCCCGTCGTGATTCAGTATTAGGCTTATCCTTGGTTGATTGCTCGCTTTTTAATGATGCATTGGTTGTAGTTTCTTTCATATGTGACATTCACGAGAAATATAGAAATTAATGATCAACAAGCGCACGTGAACATCGGTTTTTTGAGACTTTCACCTAGTTGTAATGTTTGGTCTGCAATTTTTCTCAACTCAGATTTTGAAATGAATGATTTCAACCTATGAAGGGTCGGTTCGAACAGGCCAGCTAACTTAATTATCTATTCTCAGCCTGATTTCTCCATAGAAGAAGTTCTTCGGAAAAAGCCTTTCAAATGAGACGATGCTTCCCGACATTGGCTCTATTAGAAGCAATCAGTCTTGCTTTGCGTACTACGACCTTTTGAATGACTTCATTCCTTTGCTTCGCACTGTGCTCCCTCTCCTTTACCCACTTTTTTTTTTACATGCGCTGAGAGTTCTACATTTTCTTTTCATCGCCTGAATGAAGTCCTCTTTCACTGAGATATCGAGTCGGTTCCGTTTGAAATTCGAGACAGTCTACCTCATAGTTTCCCCCTACTCCTGCGATCCATTTATTTCTTTTTTCTCGACCGCTCTTCTTTTCTATAATTTATTCGACTTTCCCTGCGCGGGGGCTTTTACTCGTGTTCGCGCACTTAGCCATTATCCCTTCTGCTTCCTGTCACCACTACTACAGGGATACTCACAAAAGGCCGAGCTTTTGACCATATAAATAATGAGTGCATGGTGTGGCTATTGGGTTGTCTCATAATTACTGTCGCAATTTTGACGCTTTTTTTTGTTTAAATTTTATCTCTTCTAGCAAACAACTGATAAACAGCATATCCGCCATCATGGTCACTGATATACTTGCATTTGCTAGGGGATGTTTTGAAGCTATCTGCCCAGAATGAGTGAAGCTGGGAATTGATGAATTGGCAAAAGTCGATTTTGGGGTGGTCTTAATCCATAACTTTTTTCTCTGGCAGATGCTGGTTCCGGGTGCAGGGGAGGCGACAGTCCATTGGAGAGATGCCAGAGCTATATGGTGGAGGAGGTATCATGACCCTGGCTATCTCCCTCAGAATGTGGGGGGCTGACATTGCAATGTGAGGTTTGGAGTTCATTTGGAGAAAGCAGATTTTGATACATTTTGACGATTCCTCCGCAATAGCGAAGCAAGCGTGGAGAGCTATTCCACGCTGACTTTCGCAATGCTTGCCTTCATACAATGAAGTGACTCCCAAACAAGGCCACGTGGCGAATTCAACAAACCACGAACAATATTGTCAGAATACGGAGTTCGGGCTTTAAATGAGCTGGGGCTTAATGTTTGCGAGGTAGCCATCTGGAGTGATGCGTGTTGTTGTCGCAGTGGACTCATGACTCATCTCCACTAGTGATCGTCTAAGAGGGCTACACAGGACTACAGAGGGAATGAGTTTTTCCGAGATAGTCAGGCATGCTTCTCGCTCATGGTCGCCAGGACCATATGGTTTCCATCGAAATTTCATTCTGCTGCAGTCCCTTGCATCCGGATGGCGTGTGCTGGTGCATCCGTTGCGCCCAGGCATCTGCTACAGTAACATGGTAGTGACCTCCGAATGCACTCCCAATCTATAGTGCAAGGGGTCCTCATCGAAAGTGACCGCATGCCCAGTATGAGGTTGAACTTCACAGCTCGTTTCTTCTTTGCCGTTGTGATTGAATCACTAGCTCAATACCCCATCAATAGAAGAGGCTCTGTCAAACACAGCGCTGATCTTCTCTGCTATCCTCCTTGCAATAGGGTTCATTTGAGGATCTAAAGCGTAATCATCCATTACTGCCACTTTCTTATTTTTATTCCTAGTTGATTAACCCGTTACCTGCTTGATCTTCTTAAATCACATTATCAAGGCTCCTGAAGCGTACTTCAACATGTTAGAGTACTTCGGCGTGAATCGGTCTTGAACAGAAGAAATTTGAATTTGAATAGAAATGCGACAGGAATTATGAGACAACCCAATATAATGCCTTAGGCGGCAATCGAACCTGCGGTATGCCGCATTTAAGGCGAGAGTTCTACCTTTGAACCACTTATCACTTGCGATCTAGCAAATTCATACAACCGAAACATGTAATTGTTACACTTGACATTGTGGCGGACCTGTGCGCGAAAAATAAATAAATAAACGAATGAGTCCTTATTTGACCAGTTTCCGATGACTGAAGTATTAATGAAATACGCATGAAATAATGTTAGAGGACTCTATACAAAGGGTAGGGGCAGAACAGTAGAATTAGTGTTTATATTTTTGATACATTTTGAATTCACTTCTGATACCCAGCTGCGAACTGCTGCGTAGAACTGCATTTATCAAACAAAAACAAGCCGAAAAAAAAAGGTAAAAAAAAATTCTCGGCCTTGCGGTTCACTGTCGATATCGGCTAACCGGTTCATCACGTTATACGTGTGAATGCTGATGAGCTGCGATGGGCTTACCATCGAAGGTGAGTTGGGGTGAATGGTGCCCCGGTGGTGTAACTGGTAGCACACTTGCCAGGAAAGCAAGAGAACCGGGTACGAAACCCGACTGCGGTGAAAGTTTTGCCCATAACTCAGCATTCTTGTGTTAACTTACGTAACGCGCACTGCGGCGTTAAACTACAGTTATCAAACTTTCAATACTTTTTCACGTTTTTGCTCTATCTAAGGGAGCGTAGAAATTTAGCATGTACAAAATTATTTCTAGCAGCGCAATGCTTCAAGCGTATAACACGACGATCAATCGACAACTATCCACCGTTAGCTGAGTATCAAATGGAGTCGTTACGTGCTTGCTCTGATTACTGTATTATGGCTGCTGGTAATGTAAGAAGAAAGGTAAAGTCTTGCATTGTCCGAGTACCATTCATAGAAGTCGATCGCAAAAAGAATACTATTTTCAGGGGCCCCTATGTCGATCGTTCACCTACGACAATCCTTTGAAGACATGCCGCCTGTATGATCACGACGGAATGAAGGTAGTGTGACCTCAATAATACAGAAAAAACATTTTTTTATACTGCTCAAAAGAATAATGTTCCTAATTTTGACATAGATTCCTGCTATCCTACATCCCGCCATCGGAATTGATTTCTACAAACGGATAAGTGATGAGGACAACTGTAAGAGTGAGTTCCAACTTGCGTCCATTCCCAGCTTTAGTTAGAACGGGTTCCCAGTGCTGTCTAGGCAAGCGGCTTGAGGTGCCCCGCATACACAATAACGTTCCCAAATTGTGAAGTTGAGTGACTGGGTTGACAAAACTACTCTTTCGATGATGGAACATTTTACCAGAAGAACCGAACGATATATAGATCGTTCTGTTCCAGACACTAACCTTTTCGAAAACAGGCTCAATTTCGCCAAATTTGGATCCTTCTCACATGAACATGATGAGGTTCAGAAGGTGAGGCACATACAGATATACAGCCCAGATAGATTACAGATTCAGAAAATTTGCCCTGTTTCAGAACCCTCGACTCCCCGCCGAAATCGACAGTGAAAGCGAAACGTTGCGAGACATAGAGATTCCGAACGGAATGTGAGTTTTTTGGAACACGTAAACATTCTTGTGGGATGAACTATAGTAGCCTGAGTTGACCGCTAGGCTCACTTAAAATGGTTGAGTAACATTAGAAATACCTGAACAACGAACGCATCAAGCTCGTAGGTGCTGTACCCTGTGATCTTTCAATTAATAGAAATCCGCCTGAAGACAATGTTACGAATAGTCGCGAGCAATGTTCATTTGGACGCACATGTCGTAAGATGGAATGAATAGGTGTGTAGGGAACCCAAAACGTTCAATACCACTACAAACCTTTTCTTTTATTATCAACCCTTTGACGACCGTATGGTCCGCCGTCGGGCCACATCGAGCCGGTCGCGTGGGACCGTATGGCCCGCCGGCGGGCCACGACAAGAATTCCCTCGACATTTGCCTATTTTGATAATTTTCCCAAGCTTCAAGCGAGGGAAGGGGCTCTCTGGAAACCCACTCATAGAATGATCCAAAAACTGCTTATGTTTAGCTTAGAAAGAGATAAAGAAACACTTGTAGTGGGGCCGCGGCCGCACCTCATGAAAAATGCACGCGTTCCCAGATGCCAGACAAGTTAGACAAGTTTAGAGCGCGCGGTTGTCAAAGGGTTAAGGTTTGCGGGCTGAGGAAAAGTAGTAGCAAGCGGGCCGCTTACCTCGCGTACAGTTCGGGATCATAGGCCTTCTCGACGAACCAAGCCTTCCATTCCTTCAGCTTCGGCTAAGTGGTACAACATTACTCTGAGAGGATATGGAGATACTGGCGTCAGATGGCGCCACCGCTCAAAATGAGTGTTATTTCTGTAATCAGTGCATCGAATCGCTTCTGTGAGCAAAGTTTCGACGAAAATAAAATTTTGAGATTTTGAGGTTGTAATGGTTTAATAGTATTAGAGAATTTTGATCACGTGGCAAAGATGTATGCGAACGTAAGTGTAGGAAAAGTTTCAGTCTCTTGACACCACCCCGATTTTCCGATTTTGAGATGCATTTTTTCAAATCTTTTCTGCGTTGATAGATTCGGCTGAAAACCTTTGTACGCGGGTAGTCCGTGGGACACGAATATCACATCCGAATCGCGTCATATGGCGTCAAATTAAGACATATAAACACCCAATCACCAAATATTTTGGACATTTGTCTAAAGGGGTACAAAATCATGTCGCAAAAGCGCTCAGAGGCCTGTGGTGAAGGCATAAGTCATTCTCTCACCGACCTAATGGTGTAGATTCTTTTACAACCCGTCAAAACATCCCGGAGGAGTTGCAGCGAGCTTCACAACGAGATCAAATTTCAAGCCAAAACCCAAGTTTTGGAAAAGTGGGTCTGCAAAGGGCCAGTATGGGAAAGGTTTTGCTTTGTCCAGAGCCTGGACAGATTTTCATTTCATTGCTCAACCAATCCAAAGCAACGTGAAAAGATAGATCCTACAATACAAAAGGTTAACACAACAGAATTTAGCGCAACAGAATACAGGATCAGTTGGCGAGTAATTTCAGATCCGACACATTCGAAACAATGAAAGTGCTCAAGAAGAAAGTCTCAGAAGAGACGCCAGTAGAGAACACTGTCCCAGAAGTCCCTAGCGGTCCGTGTCTGGATTCTCTTTTTTGAATGCTTTCAATTTCTATGACTTTTTGTACTGCAAAAGTTTAACTTTTCAGAGCCATGTTTGACAAGTACTGGTTACTATGTTGTGATTGGGAATGAAATTGTTCGACCGATATCCAACGGGGGAACAGTCAAGGTGAATGAATTTAATAATTGAAGTAATTCATTCCGAAAGCTTTTTTTATTGTAGTCTATAATGAAATTGTGCAAGGTTTCATGAGTTATTCCTGCAGGTTTTCAATGATGTCGATCAAGGAGACTGTGCAAAGTTCTGTAGCAGTAACCAGGTACACCATCTCATATTTTTAAAAAAGCCAATGAGAAAAGCTGGATTTTCAATAGGGGTACAGTATAAGCAAGGCACTGGAATTAGGTACTTAATCCGGTAGTAATCAGTATCCATTTTTCTAAATGGCAACGAAAAGTTAGCTAAATAGGCTGTTTTCTCCTTACACCCCACTTCTGGATACCTTCAAATCATTTCTTGTGCTGTTACTACAGTGCTTACAATTCAAAACTGTGAACGTTTGAAAGCCAATTTCAATCGCAATTATCAATAGCCTCTGCGAGCAGTTTACGAATGGATGGAAATGTGCAAGAAGATGATCAATAATCACTCTTTGCAGGGACCAGATAAAGATCCCCTGGTGTGCTCTTCGCTGAACTACTTCCCCCTTACACGAAAATGTGAACTGTACAGTATCCTTGCCGAGCCGCACGGTACTGGAAGCCTGGTGGAGAATCCAGATGTGATTTACGCGGAGAAATTCTGTTTACCAGGTTGGAATTGCTTATGTAAATTTCAACCAGCGATGTTAACTTTTTACAAATTTTAGACCCTGCTTAAAGTGTTTCTGTTTAGTACCATAAATATAATTTGCAGGATTTCATGGGTTACAGGGCTTCTGTCAACCAGGAGGTGAAAAAGCAGACTTCCTTTGTGGTAGTAGGACTAAGCTTATTGAAGGAGATAGAGATAGCGAACATTCTGTAATAGTGGTCTCGAAGATTCTGTAAAAGTGCGTTTGTGTGAGAGCTCCCAGACAGCACAACAAAAAGCTGGACTGCCTAGCCTCTTGGTTGACAGATATCCGGAGACCGAATACATGGAGGAACGATTTTCAACCTTTTGAATATTATTGGGAGGGAGATGAGAGAAGCCTAAGTGAAGTAGAAAGTTGATTAAAAAGTAGTACCGAGATCTTTACTATTCTTGCTTGCAAATGAAAGAGCGCGGTGCACTTGCCTCCGTGCCAAATCATAGACGTGATTGATTGGGTTCGGCGCAGCTACAACCTTGGGCTCAGCTGTACAGCTCAATACTTGTGTAAAGAGTGAGAATTCACTATTCACTCAGAAGTAATTACTCCTGAAAATATTATAAATATCTTTACAACTCCAATTAATTTGTAATTTAGAATCACATCAAACATGTCAAGATGACGAGGTGTTCATTCTTCACGTACAAAGGAGTCTGTCTGGAATCCCTATAAATCAGACGCCATCTCAGAGCATCACAAAATGTTTGAAAGCATGCCTTGACGATGACTCTTGCAAGGTTACTATTTAGCTTCTAAAACAACAATTTTTGTGGATGAGTCCTTATAAAACATAACATTGAGCCAAATTTTGTTTTTAGTAGCTGCTTCGCAAGCAGTTTTGTGTATACGTTTGGTTAAGTTTCTACCTTCATGAGATAGATTTTGATTTCCAGACGGGAGTATTCGATTCGACTAAACAACTCTGCCATTTGTACAAGGAAGCTGTGTCTAAATCTCAAGACACAATTGTCGACACTCCTCCAGGATTCGTAATGATTGAAAACGGTTGCGCTGAGAGTCGAAGGACTACAAGTAAAAAGCGGAAAAGTGAACACCAACAGCTGTCTTTGGAGGTGAACAATAT